TAAGAACTGTAGACTACTATAGCTTTCAAGCCACAAGACCAAACTCAAGAAAGTCTTGACAACAGATCTAAAGACGCTCACTTTCGTGGTTAAAATTGCTTTTCACGGCTAACGTTTAAAAGTTTCTAATTTTTGCGCCTAAATAACGGATGAATTTTTGTCTGTTTTACGACTAACAGTTAACCCCACTGCCGGAACCTTCATAACAGTGAGAGTAGCGAACAACTTTTTCAGTTTATTTCGTCTTCACTTTTCGCAACGAACCGAACTCAGAGATGTAAGGTAAAGTAGTAATGTCATTCCCATATCTGAGCGAGATTGGTAAAGATGACGAACTAGTTGTCGTGAAAGATTTCCAGATGTCTAGGACCTGAAATATCTGTCGAGTACCACACAGAACCAACTGCCCCGCGTCACTTGTTTTAATTGATGGACAAAACGTTCAGCTTCGCGTTGCGTGTCATGTCGTAGAAGAGTCCTCGTTGTTCCAGTAGTTTGATTGGCGAGTCGAATTCCACGATTGATCCATTGTCAAGGACCATCACCCTGAAAATAAGGACCAAAGTATCTCAATTTTAAATTTCGGCTTATTTACCCTTTGTTTTAAGAATTATTAAAGACTTTTTAAAGGAGCTACGTCACGGTTTGCACCTCTTGAAAAGTTTAGCCTAAATTTATTATTATCTCTTTGGTGTTTTATTTCCAGTTAATTTAGATAATTTTGTACGTGGCCACAAAACCCAAAATACCATGACTGAGCTCCTTTAATCACAAAAAGAAATCAGTTGAATTGCTCCGAAAAAAGTACTATTCAAATTTGGAGTTTTATTCTTCAACGCTTTTCAAGTCATAGAAGCGTTCAAAATTGTTAAAACTTTGACCCTTAGCCTCGCTCCGTCCTCCCCTCTTCCTCCCCCTCTCGGTATAATGGGGGTTAATATTGATAGCTTCAATTAAATCATTTTCATTTTGCACGATAGAAGAACAACAGTTTACCCTTCTCTTGTCTGAAAACTATCATCAAATCTGAGAATTTATCCCTAACGGAGACGACTTGGGACAAGTCAGTGATATCAGTCCATTATATAGTGGGCAGTGTCTCCAATCAGCCCACATGGGCTAAATACATTGACACTTAAATAAAGTTCTTACTTACTTAGCTTCTTTTTATGTTTCAAATTGAGACTGGCGTAAAATGTTTCTCAGAGGTGTAGCAGCTCTCGTAAACTTGTAATCTTTTACTTGTTAGCAGTTGTTATTGTTTTAGGGCTAGGAGCATTGTTTCTGTTGTTTGTTCTATTGTCCTCTCAAAGGGTATCAAGCCATTCAAGTGAGACCTTACGAGTTGCTACCCAACCCCCTCTCTGATGTATGTGTAAAGTGTACAGAGCCACCTTTTTAGCATATTGAAACAGAGGACAGGAGAAACTCTGAAAAGGCCTAGGGGCGAGCAAAGAATATTCAGGTCGAATTATTGACTTTCTTTGTTTGACGGCGAGTTGTTTAAAAGGATGTTATTACCTGTCATAGTCCATTATAGTGTTCAGTCTGTGAGCAATCGTGAGCACTGTATGGTCAGCAAACTCACGCCGAATCGTCTGCTGAATGAACTCATCAGTTTCCAGGTCCACCGCGGCCGTGGCTTCATCGAGAACCAGGATCTTACTTTTACGGAGCAGCGCACGCGCTAAACACACCAACTGCCGCTGACCAACACTGAAGAAAAATAAACAAAATATTGTGAAGGTTTAATTAAGCGAGGGAATATTTTGTCGCGCTCTCTTTAACGTACCCCTCTCGAAAGACAGATCTAATCGCAATTGAACGATGTTTGTCGACCATCTCGATTGCGGTTTTTCGCGCGATATAAAAATCCAGTCAGAGAGATTACATCTCGATATTTGATTAGATATCTTTCCTGTGTTGCAGAAATTTAGAATAATTCTAGCAAATTCAATTTACCATCGTTTGTTAGTTTAGTGTATCAGAGTGGAAACAGGAGTATTCAACATTTCAAGCCAACCGTGCCAGACAGGTTAATATATACCGGAAGTAAAATCTAAAAAGGTTGCCACTGATTAATAATTTACGATAAAGCAAATTTGTACCATCGGATGGCGATCAGGGTTTTTTTTTCGCGGAGGCGAAGGAGATTGTTGAAAAAAATAACTAAATAAACCGACCGATCTTACGTTACCTTAACCCCACCTGCTTAGCCTAAAGATTGCCCGACGAACCCGACAGCGTAAACTGGAGTTATGCGTCCCTCAGATGTATAGCAAATATAATACTCTCAATCACGTGTCTTATCTAAATTTGTACCTCAAATTTTCTCCCCCCTCTGCTATGATGTGTTGCAGTCCTCCATTCAAACCTGAGACAAATCTGTTCAAGTGACTCACTTCCAGTACTTTCCACAACTCTTCATCAGTATACTTGTCAAACGGGTCCAAGTTTAGACGGAGAGTTCCAGAAAATAACACGGGATCCTGTAAGAACACGACATTTAGGCCCCGTCTATACTATAACGGAGGAATTTGAAACCAGAGGTTCCGCTCTGAAAACGCATCAAACGTTTTACATCCACACTACGCCGTGGGAATTTAAAAACGTAACCGACGCAATCACCGATCATTTTGGATTTGTGCTTGAGAAAAACACGGTCAGGGAAGTCGCATGATATCGTTTGCGCACGACGTACATCGCGACATAGTTTTCGAAAAGCTCCGTTCTAAAAATGTTTCCGTCCACACGAAAACGAAATTAAAAAAGCCGGCGCTTTCAAATTCCTCCGGTTTGAAGAGCGTTTTCGAAAAGCACCATTTCCGTGACGGATCAGTATGGATGGTGAGCCTAACCATAAAAATAAAACTGCGTTTTCAGATTTCTCAGGCGTAGAGTGGACGCTGCCTTAGCCGGATCTTAATTTTTTTACGATCTCAGTTGGTCTCCCACTGAAGAATCACCCGCGAGATGATTCGACACAACGAATTTTATGCTGGCGTCATTTCATGATGGTTAATGTTGTTTACTGAAGGCATATGCACGAGTTAGAGGACGTTTACATGTTAGTCCCTCTCTGGTCCCCTAAAACACGTTGGACCCATCGTTAATTATTAAAAATTAAGCCAGTTGGCAGGAAGTTCTGACAACATAGTTGGGAAATTTTTAACTCATACCTGCGGAATGATGGTGAGTCGTGAGCGGAGGTCTCGCAGTCCAATAGTAGCGATATCAACACCATCAATAACAATTTTTCCACCAGCTCTCTCCAGAATACGAAACAATGCTAAAGCCAAAGAAGACTTTCCCGCTCCTGTACGACCTACAATGCCGATCTGTTGAATGTAAGAGGAGGGTAGTCGAAAGGACACTATACAAAACTAATCAATGTTAACAAACTGAGGTTCTAATTCTTGATGAACAGCCGTATTCTCATCACCTATCCCTTTGGTATTTATGAATACGGTAAGGAGAATCTTGATCTCGATCACCCTGGATATTGGTTTCACAAAAASTACCKTAATAGAGCGGTTTTCAATTGAGTGTGGAAAGTAATCAGGCAATTACTTTGGTTTTGGTTTTGGTTTTACTTCGGTTTGAGATTGGCTGAGTAGTCTAATTGGTAAGTAATTAGTTTGGTTTTGTTTTTCCGACACTCAGTTGAAAACCGCTCTAGTTATTATGTTAGCTCCCGGGCGCTAATTTACTTTTGTTAGGTTAATCGAGGGCGCTTTTTGGAGAGGGGACGAAGCTTACTATAGGAACGGGGCGCTTGTTTTTTATTTTCAAATAAACATTTGAATGCAATACAGGACTTTGACGAACAACTACGGGGAACTTAAACTCAACAACTGTAACAATAGGGGCTCTTAGGTTCACAAAACTGCATACTTCATTATTCCAAGTCAGTATGTTCAATACGACGTTCAGATGTGAAAGCACGCTAGATTCTCGTCTAATCAGTCTATTCTATATATGTCGTTGTTTTGAATGCCACTTACCCAATGGGGGCACTAATTGAAAAGGGGTGATTCTTGGAATAGGTGCACTTAATAAATAAACGGCACTCAGTGGAGAGTGCTTATCAGGAGAGTACGCTTACTGGAAAGTGGGGCGCTAAATCGAATCATTACGGTACCAGACGAGCAACGCGGTTCAGTGCAGTATAAGGTGTATGATAGCTAACTAAATCATGAGTCCCAACATTTTAGATCGACTATCATACAGCATCGTAGTGCTGTGGCATCATGGACACCACATGCTATAACATTTTCAAATGCTTGAACATGTTGCACGAAAGTACGCCGTAAATTGAACCTCCGTTCGAATGATGATACTAAAATATCATCCAACATCATCCCAACAAGGTCGTTAAACACCGTTCAAACATTTTTTTTCCAAGAACTAAGACTGGGTGAAGCCTTACCCACAGGGCTTAGCTTGAGGGTCAATTCTTACCCTCATCATGTCTATTACAAATTTGCTCGGACGTGTTATATGGGATTTTTTAAAACATTGACCAACAATACCTTTTCTGCTGGCTTGATCATGAAGCTTATTTCCTTCAGCACCAAAGGCAGCCCATCTCTGTATCGCAGCTGGAAATTATCAAATAAGACTACTCCCTGTTGTGGCCAGTCACGTGACGGACGACTGTCCGGAATAACTCTCTCGGCCTGAAATTTGACGAAAATGAAAGTAAACACGTGCCCAAGTCCAGACTTCTCGAGCTTAATACACGCGCGTTATTCAGTTAATCAGTCCAGGTTCACTTCGATGCTAATCAACATTTCACGACATGTACGTACTTCTTGAGGAAGATGGCTGCTCTCAAACATAATTTGAGAGGCTCGGCGCTGCTCTCCGCAGAAGCACTTCAAATTCGCCTTGCTATCACAGACACTTTGATCAACTTGTTGATTGTGGAGAAGTCCCCTTAGAGGAACGCTCAAGGAGAAGAAATATGGTTATTAAAGGAAAGATAGCTTGACGACATCCACGATATAATGTTTTACCGCAATTTACAATCATGTGGTGATTGTTAAGTTAAGATAGTTAAGGCGGTTCGTATTTAGGCTACTCGCAATATGGTAAATCAAGTGTTCTGTTCCCCGACTTGACTTTGACATTGTCTTTAACTGACATTATCTTTACCTCTGTTGTTATATTAGAGTATTCGTTGACTCTCTCAACTGATACCAAGTTAGTTTCCAGTTGACTCGACATTCGGATCATCCAGTTAAGCTTTTGAGTGATCTGTTAAAATATTAAAGAAGAGGTATTGCAAGCGAAAACTGAGTGATACAGGGACTTCCATATAAGAGCTACATTACACTTTGAAATACTGCAAGGGATCGGGCAGGTTGTTGAATAATTTTTCTCAAAGCTATAAGTCTTGGACACGTTAAGACAGATATCAACGGTTTCCATGATACGACGGCGTGAAGTTGAGTATGATGCGTACGCGTCCCTTTTAATTAAGCCTATAAGAAATCACACTTAGGAGATAAAGAGTTAAACTATTTGTTTGTTTGTGTGTTTGTTTACCTGAAGCGCATATGTCACAGAAAGTCCAACAAGACCTCCGCCAATCTTATCCCGGCTGATCACACCAAACAATGCCGCAAAGAAGATCAAACAATTCCCAATAAACTCCAAACGAAGAGACAACCATCTGCAAAAAATAAATAAATAAATAAATAAATAATAAATTAAATAAAAATTAAAAATACTTTAGTTAAATTTTGCCATGAGCAGAGTCTAGCAAATGAGTCTAGCAATCAATTATTGTTCCGAAGGGCTGTCCTTTCTCTTTCCTTCAAATTCGTGCATGTGATCCTATGTGCCTGTTTTTCTCCCTTTCCTTATCGGTTACTGTCCGTAGTTTCCATGTTGGTATCAAACTAACTCGGTGCTTAAGGACGAAGTTACCTGTTAGCGGAGATAGATAGATAATACGCAACTTGGTTTTCGTCCACTTTGCGATAATTATCCCGGATGAAGCGCTCCTGTTGTGAAAATGCCCGGATGGTGCTGGCACCGTTGATCGTTTCTAAGAAATGACTGTAGATTGGTGATCGGCTCACTGACTCGATCCTTCTCAGCTGTCTCGATGAAGCAACGTACACCCTCTGGAGTGACAAACAAACATTGCATTTTCTCTTATTAGCTGCATGACATGTTAAAAATTATGACTGGAAATTAGGGTAAATTTAGCTAAACATAATCGCTTTTTTTTCCGGGGGGGGGGTGGTGTCTTAAGTAAATTACCTCAATTACCACAATAACCCAACGTAAGAAACATTAAAGGGAGGTATAGTTCTCGTAAGCTAGTGATTTCTATTTGTGTGACAGCTGTTATTGTTTTAGGGCCAGGGGCATTGTTTGAGTTGTTTGTTCTGTTGTTTTCTTGAATGGCATCGAGCCATTCATGGGAGATCTTGCAAGAGCTGCTGTCAGACCCAAAATTTAGCATCACAGTTGTTTATCCTACCAACGACCAAAATCCCACCAGATCGCGTTGTTATCATTTTCCCGTAAAAGTGTGTAGATAACTTAAGCGTTTATTCAGTAAACCTAATAATCGGTCTTAATTGCTCTGCAAATTTTTGGAAAGCAAACAAACCTATCTTGCATTTTCTGTTTACCGTAATAAATGTGGTACTAAATTTCTCCACTAGCAGAAAATCTGTACTTTGTTGAATCCCAAGACTCGTATTCCAAAAGGTCGTTAATGTCTTCGAGTTCAATTTACTCTCTCAGTTCGTACAATTATGTCTTCCTTGATTAACATCGGAAAAACATTATTGTACAAATCGCGAGAGTATCAAAGCGTTCCTGAAAAGGTTGATGGTAAAGAAGTACCTGCTTCAGTGTCACGTTTTGACTACTTTTGACATTTTTTTTCCTCTGTTGATCTAACTAATTTTAATACAATACGCGCGAGAGGTGAAAGTTGACAAGGTAACAGACTACAGACTACAGACTACTTCCCTGATTACGGTAAATGAAAAATTAAATAAATAATTGTACAGATGAATAGTTACTATAAAATATAATATTTAAGTGAGCACTTGTAGATATATGTATCATTGGATTAAATGGGAAAAGAAACCTACGATAAACTTTTTTAGCTCGGGGGGGGGGGGGGTGGTGCCTCATTTTAGCCAATGTGCTGATACAGTTGAGAAGTCTTGGTCGCGTGAATATGAATGAACAGTTTTCAAATGGATAAAAGAACAATTCTCTTTTTGAGAATACCACGTGGTCTGTAAAGGGAAAACAAACCGCCTAAGCTCAAAGGTCTGAGAGGATGTAACCAATGACAATAAGAGAAATAACAAAGATTTCTAGAAAATACACCACAAAGCGAATTTTTCCAGCTAAAAGTGGTGAAGACAGACCTAGCCCTGGTCATGCTTCAGTTGAACAAACACCACTTTAAAAATCGCTTTTCTGAAGGTTATTTCCAAAAAAGGAATGTCAGTCGCCATATTGTGACGTCACTGCGCATCTGCAAGTTTTCATTTGCGCAGTTCGCGGAGACCTAAACATATATTTTGGATTGATTACTGTATTAAACGAGAGCCTTTTTCGTTTAAAGTAAAGCGAGAAAGCTCAGGATCCGAAGAAGACTCTCTTAAAACTGTGAATTAGGAAGGTGAACAAGAAAACTATGATCTATATTTATGCTACGAGGAACCTACGATAAAACTTCGGGTGAATAGTATTTGAAAGCTACATGTAACAAATGGTACGCGACTCGATGAGAAGAAACTGTTTTAGATGTATTTGGCACTGGGATTTTGCATGCACACATGTACTAGGCTTGAGCTGTCTCAGCGTTTCAGAAAGCTTGCGTGCCTCACATTGCTACGGAATAACGTCTTTATCATATTTTCCCCTACCTGAAAATAAAAGTACAAAGCTGCTAACGGAGGTACAATACTGAGGAAGAGCGGTGTAGCGTAACTCACAGCAACCAGCATGCCGAGGACATCGAAAAACATCTGCAAAAATGATCTCAGGCAAAGCGGAATTGTCACATCAATTCCATAAATATCCTTCGACAGCCGGTTCATTATTCGTCCAAGAGGAGTCGTATCAAAAAAAGTCATAGGTAGTCGCAAGATATTGACTATCAATTTGCGATGAAGTGTTCTGGACGCTTTGATAGCCCCCCAAAACAATGTCAAGGAATACATGAAGATGAAAAAGGACTGCCCCGCTCCGATGCTTCCATAGACTGTCAGATAAAAGTCTCTTTGCTGATTGGTTGTGACTTCTGCGGAGCTCCAATAAGCCAGCCATATTCCCGTGCCAACAGAGCATGCTTCCATGACCGTGAAAGAGAACAAGGAGAATAAGAACCAGTGTACTCCAGTGGACTTGATGTATGACATTAACACTGAAAATTTAACCTATTGAACAACAACAAAGGTGGGTAGGTTACAAGATTAATGTTTTCTATCGCAAGATCTCTGTAATTGACTGTTTTACAGAACTTCCAGAGGCAATTTCCGTTTGATCTATCATGTCTTGATATCTTTCTCCGCAGTTCAAATATATGATCTTTCATATATGCACTTGTATCACGTTTCTTTGTTGCGCAAAAAGAAATACAATGCAAATGCAAAAATACAATCTAGAGTCCACGACAACTTACCGTTCCAGTTTCTGATGTTTCCTCTGTGATCGTTTTTCCAACATTGCTCTTCTCCGCTGGCTCTTTTTTGTAATTTTTCTCCAAGGTTTCGTTTTCCTTCCTTTGGTCAATGTTAATGTCACTAAATAAATCTTCGAGCACTTCTTCGTCTCCCTCGCTCTCGTCGGAAACCTCCGTTTCTGTTAGGATCAGTAATATTTTTCGACTTCAATAAGAACTTCCAGCTCAATTGAGACCTCACAATTTTTCTCACAAGTGTAAGAACGTCTTAGAGTTTGAATAAAAATCTATTAGTAACGCAATTGACTAAATGACTTAATATCCCACTAACCAAAAGACTGACGCACATCGATACAGAAAAAGGCGCGGCAAGCAGATGGAGGGATGGACAGCCTTAACCAGTATAGGAAAATCAAAGAGCTAACATCGAGCAACAAATATTACCAGCAGCGTAAATGATGTTCTAAAACTTAAACCTGCAGGACATATTCGCAAAGCTCTGATTCAAACTGTTAGTCAGGGAAAAGTTACTCAGTTAATGGAAAATACCTCAGAAAGAAATTTCAAACAGACTTACATCAGATTAATTTCCTTCAAAGCTTCTTTTTTTTTATAACAACAGCAAAACAACAACAACAACAACAACAACAACGACAAAAGGTGTTATTTTACATTCTTAACTGAGAAAAAATCTGCTAGAAATAGTAGCAGCCTTAAATATAATAATACAGGTATTGTGACTGTTTTTGCACAAACACACAGCCGGTGGTCCGGCAAGACTTAATTTCTACTGTTAGCAATTAGCACGTGGCAAAACAAAAGTCTCATTGTCCTTTGCAACTTGTAACCACTTTCAAACACCCACCGGAGGTTTCCTCCGAGCCGTACGTTTGGAGAAAATCCGCAAAAGCGCCCGAGTTTTCTAAAAGTTCAGTGTAGGTACCCTCCTGTCGAAAGGAAACAAACAAACAAACAAACAAACAAACAAACAAAAATAAATAAAATAACGAATAAATACAACACAAGTAAATGATAATAATAATAATAATAATAATAATAATAATAATGATAATACATTTTTATAGTGCTAGTTATATAAAATATTCAAAAGCG